TGATTTATTTCTAGACATATTACTCCTCACTCACTTACTCCCTCTCTCTCTCTCTCTCTCTCTCACACACACACACACGTTTTCATACTTCGAAGGAATACATGTGTTTTGTAAACAAAGTACCCCAGTTTGTATCTACCATTAATATTCTGGAAACCGCTTTAATTAGGAACTACCAGTAATTCTCACTTGTGTTGAAACTGGGAGAAAAGGCCATAATCTCATGTAGTTATATTTTATTTCTTTGGCTCTGTACAATTATGGAAATAAACTAAGAACTGGGTTTTTATTTTAATCAATTTATGGTCTCAAAAGTTAAAAGGAATCTGGGCTCAAACAATTTATATGAGATAATACTGCCACCTGGAGATCAGAGGTAGGTATGACTAAGACTCAATCTAAATTCTAATTCTTGAAAGTAATTGGACTTATGGTAACGCTTGATTTAATAATACCATTCTGCCACTTGCCATCATTTGGGTCTAATTTTTCCTCATTTATTCATTAATTTAATGAATATTTTCTTATCTTCTCTTGTATGCCTGATGCTACCCTAGGCTTTGGTAATATAAAAATATATAAAACCTAGTTCCTTCCTAGTAAGAGACACCTGCATATTATCAGGTGTCACCCCATGTACCCCTTGCCCTTTAAGAGTGAAGCAAAATTGAGGGGTACCTGGTGGTTCAATCAGTTGGGCAACCGACTCCTGGTTTTGGCTCAGGTCATGATCTGAGTGTTGTGATATCCAGCCCTGTGACAGGCTTGGGGATCAGCATGGAGTCTGCTTCAGATTCTCTCCTTCTCCCTTTGCCCTTACCCTGACTCATTCTCTCTCTCTCTCTTTCTCAAAATAAATAAATAAATAAAATATTAAGGAGTGAAGTGAAATTGAATATAATACTTGTCTCTATGTGGTGGAAAACTCCTCTCTCTCCTTCTTTCTAAGATTGTAACATAGACGATGGTTTGTAATTTTCCCCATCACCTTGGACTCTAAGCTCCTGCTTCACCTGACATGGTGCAGTTCATTGACCACTTTATTGTTACACACATATTGCTCTTGTTCTTTGTAAACTCCCCAAAGATGGAGAATACAATTCTTTTTACTTGATTTTCATAATGATTAATTCATACAAAGCTTTGGGTTTGAAGGGGATTTATCCTGAAGTTTGGAAGCATGGAAGATGTGTGTGTGTGTGTGTGTGTGTGTGTGTGTGTGTGTGTAATTACAGCAACACTAACAATTACAAATTGGACAATAGACTTCATTGATCCTTTTGAAGTCCTATCACTCCCACCACTTTGACCCTCCTTTCTCACTATGCTCCCTTCTTTACTGCCTTTTTTTCTCAAGATTTCCCAACCCCTACCCACTACCACAGTGAACAATTCTTTCCACTTTACCATGTAGAACAATTCAACTTCCTCAGTTTCATATCCCTAAACTCTGCCTCCAGCCAACCTGTGCATATCCTACACTTATTGCTATATTATGATACACAATGAGCCATCTGCCTAGAGCCTCATCCCCCCTTTCCCCCTATATAAGACTTATTTCTCCTTGATAGGAATTATGGCAACTCTTAAAAGACAGAGTGGTAGCAATTTAGGTTTTAAATAACATTTTAAAATTTCCTTGTTAGATAGAGATATAAACAAAGTGCTATGAGGGCCCCTTCTACTCTTCCCTCCCTCCTAACCTCCGTCCCCCACTCCCCACCTTCTACTTTCTCTTCTATACTGTAAGCTATCCCTACAAGGATTTCTTACTAGTCTTGTGGTACTCTTTGGTAATACTGCTATACTTAAATTAAAATTCAACAAAGGAGAGAAAGCTGGATGGAAGGGCTGTCAGGCAGTACAGATAATTTGCTGGTCCATGGTTTACTTTGTTTTCTGGTTAAGTCCATGACACAAGTCCTCTTCTAAAGTTGGAGTGCTCCTAGGACAAGAACTTCGAGAAAAGATATTGGAAAGATGAACTGTCCTCTTGCTGATAACCATTCCCTAATTCTGTTAACTATTCTTGGCCATAAAAAGGAAGTATGAATATGAAATTGCATTAAAACCTTAGTTTTGGAAAATCATACACTAAACTATCCCAAATATTAAGTTGAAAAATAATTACTCAATTAACAATTTCCCTAAATTTTTAGATTAATTCCTTCATCAGATCTCTTTGGTATGAAGACTGGTGTACCAAAACACAAATTGTCCACCTAAAAAAGAGCATTTTCCTGGGCATTAGTGATGTTACCTGATTGGCACTGAGACTAGGCCTAGATCTTTGGACTTTGGAGTTTAAAGAGGGATTGTGGAAATTACTTTCCTTTCAGAAATAAAATTAGAGAACATCATCAATTCACAATACACACATTTATCGAGTATCTACCTTATGTCACATTCTATGCAATGCAGTTAAAATACAAAGTCAAAACACGATATCTGGCCTGAAGGAACTTATGGCTAATGAAGAAGACAAATAAATCAAAGACCATATATGTAAGAATCCTATAAATGTCTAAGTCTTCGTAATTTTTCAGGTCTGTTGTTTATCCCGTTTTGTTTTTCCAAAGCAGCTGGCACTAAAATACATTATAAGGATCTCTGTATTTATTCTTGAGCCCTTCACTAATGCCTAACATGTACATCTTATAGCAGACCAGTATACCCTAGCATTCTTTCAGTTTCGTGAATATGGCAAGCTCATTTGTTTTAGAGCTTTTTTATTAGCTGTTTCCAGAGCCAAGCATGCAAAGAAGCAGTGAGCCTGATCTATCCTGGCGTAGGCATTTGGTATGGCAGGAAAAGTATGTGGAGAAACACTAAGCAAAGGATGAATAGGTTTCCAAACTAAAACAAAACAAAACCTCTTCCATATAAGAACCACAGGAACAACAAGGCGATGACTCTTCTCTAGGCACTGAGGTAGAGTAGCCATTTGCTTTGGGTTGAGATACCTGTCTTTTCCTTTAGAATGTGACCTTCTCAAGGGGAAGCAATGCGAGTCTGTATGTCAAGAAATAAGGATGTAAAAAACTGGCTTCTAAACCCATTCATCACCTGAGGACTTAACAAAAAAATATTCCTGATTCAAATGAAATGTGGAAAAAAAAACCTGATGACATTTACGATGCTATTGGAAATTTGAACATTGACTGGATATTTAGTAATATTAAGCAATTATTATTGTTTAAGGCTAACAGCGATATTACAGTTACTTTTTTCTACCTTTTAGGGACCAATACTGAAAATAATGGATTAAATAATGTTTGGGATTTGCTTCAATATAATAGAGAAGAGGAGAAAATGTAGGGGAGTGATTTAAGTGAAACAAGATTAGTCATGAGTCAATAGGTGAATAATGGGTACAATGGGTTCATTGTACTATTCCATCTTCTTTGATATATGTTTGAAATTTTCTATAAGAAAAATATTTTTTTAAAAAAGAGAGATTCCTGACTTCCCAAGAGAGAGTCTGGCTTATTATGTCCAGAGCCTGTGAACCCGTGTGTTGGCATCATCGTCACTACCAGGAGATTCCCCAACAGCACTCCTCCTTTCCTACCTATGCTACAGAGTCTATTAGTGGTGGGGCTACAGAGTGCTGTTGATCAAAGCTCTTATACTTTAAATATTGTCCTTAGGAATAAGGCATCCGATTAGCATAATTTACACAAGATGTCCATTTAACAGTCAATTCAAAGGAGGGATTTCTGCAGTTTAAAGGAAATTCTAGTAAATCTCAAAGAACAAAATTTATCTCAGGGAAGAACTCTAGATTTCAGGTAAGAGAAATCACACTCCAAGCTAGTACAGACACTCTCGAAAAGAGTATAGCAGTCCCTCAAAAATTTAAAAATAGAGCTACCCTATGACCCAGCAACTGCACTACTAGATCTTTACCCAAAAGATACAAGCATAATGATCTGAAGGGGCACCTGAACTCCAATGTTTAGAGCAGCGATGTCCACAATAGCCAAACTATAGAAAGAGCCCAGATGTCCATCAACAGATGAATGGATAAAGAAGATGTGGCCTATACACACACACACACACACACACACACTACTCAGCCATCAAAAAAAAAAAAAATGAAATCTTACCATTTGCAAAGACATGACTGGAACTAGAGGGTATTATGCTAAATGAAATTGGTCAACCAGAGAAACACAATTATTATACGATTTCACTCATATATGTAATTTAAGAAACAAAACAGAGGAGCGTAGGGGAACGGAGAAAAAAATAAAACAAGATGAAATCGGAGAAGGAGACAAACCATAAGAGACTCTTAATCAAAGGAAACAAACGGAGGGTTGCTGGAGGGTACGGGTGAGGGGATGGTGTAATTTGGTGATGGACATTAAGGAAGGCACAGGATATAATGAGCACTGGGTGTTACATATAACTGATGAATCACTGAACTTTACCTCTGAAACTAATAATACATTATATGTTAACTGAAATTAAATAAAATTTAAAAAAATAAAAATTAAAAGAAAGAACACTCCAGATTGCCCCTCTGTGGCTCTCACACACTGTCTCTAAACCAGCACAATCTCGGGCCTGAACAAAGTAGCTTTTTTTTTTTTTTTTTTTTTTTTTAGTAGCTTTTGATAGTAATAAAATCTCATTTAGGGGCTTGGCCTAGGGTCCTTAGACAGAAGCATGGCTTTTCACGTTGCCTTCCAAGTTGAACTTGGTTTACCTTGAGACGTCCCGGCGAGGTAGTTGATTCAGTTGCTATGGCGACACTCCGGTTCCGCCTCCGGGCTTGCTCGAATAGCCTGCTGGGAATTGTAGTGCGTGGGAACTGACACTCACCCAGGGGGCGGGGCAGCCTCCAGAAAAGGGGCTGAGTTTCCCGTTCCTCCCTGTACCACCATCCCTTAGCCCTCTGTGTTTCTGGGCCACAGAACCCAAAATAAAAGCCCAGCTATGAAGTCTTCCTTTCCACGTCCACCTAAAGTACAGAGGGCAGGACAGTGGAAGCAATGAGGTTCCAAGGCCGGAGACGCGAGCCACAGTGGTGGGGCAGGAAGAGGCGAGGCTCCCTCCAGGGCACGGAGGCTCCGCCTCCTACGTCATTTCCGTAAACAAAAGGGACTGTGAGGCGGCAGGGTCCGGGATGTGACCCCGGCTCAAGCTGCAGCAGTAGCGTCGCCGGCTGCAGCTGCGGCAGTGGCTTCGGAGGCTTCGGGGTCTTTGCAGTTTGAGAAAGAGGACCCCGATCCTCTCCTTCCTCAGGTATGAAGTGGAAGCAAAAGCGCTCTGGCAGTGTCGCGTTAGGCCCTTTTCACCAACTATCCTGGCCACTGCTCAATTCGCGGAGCGGAAGGGTCACCGTGGCGGCTGACTGGGGAAGGGGAATGAGGTGAAGTCAAGAGGGATTCCTAGTAATCCTGTTTGGAGGCTGTGGGTTCCTGGCAATCAAAACCCGTGTGTGAGTAACTGTGAGCAGTCTGCGAAGGCCTTCTCTAAAACCTTCCTTGCTACGTGGTGTACAGGAAAGATTTTGGTTCTCTTGGGGCAGAGATTTGCCTTTCCAAAAACAGATTTCAAGCCCTGGCCCTTCGGTACATCGTAGTTTAAACCACTGTTGGTTTATTTGCATTACTTTACTTCGTAGGGTTCTTTCCCTTTCTTTTTCTCGTATCACCAAATATGTTTTAGCATCATTTAAATCAAAGGTTAGTGTGTTTATGTGTTTATACAGATGCTTACCTCTTTGGAGAACTAATAACCCATTGTCTCTGTTCAGTTACTTATTAAAATTCCATTTAATTTGTGTTGCATGCTGAAACAGTGCAAAGATGCCTATTCTGTTACTAAAAATGCTTCTTAAAGGAAAAACTGTTAGCCAGGATTTGAATGAATTTTCACTTGGTATCTGGAATTAAAGGCTAGTCATTATAGCCTTTCCTTGAAAACCTTTACTTCTTTAGAAGTATCATATCTCCAGTTATAATTGTCTATAGAGTCAGCCTGAGCCAAGTGAGCTGAAATGGTTTAAATTCCAGTGCTAGTGGCACCAAGTTTTAGACAATAGCAAAAAATCTGGTTTCATCAAAATTCTCAATTATGTTAGGAGTGTAATCAGTGGATTTGAATCTTTTGGTATGGTCTTAGCATAGTTAGATTCAACACAATGTACACAAAAAGGGCTAATACTGCTAAGGCACTTTACAGCCTGATGAGGTAAATAGCCATGTAAATTTCTCATCTCACGATACATGAAACAATGTAATTAAGAATTTAATAGTGTGCATAAGTAAAAAGAAAATATAGAAGGATATTTTTAGATAGATGGCTGTTAGGAAAATAAAGCTGGTAAGTACATGAAGTAAAGGGAAAAGATTGGATCTGTGTTCTCTATGGTAAGGCCAGCTGGAACTTCACAGTGTAACTTTTTTGATACTAGCAAACCTAAACATATATAATACAGTTTCATGTATCCTTGGGAATAAGTGGAGAAAATATATTCAAAATAGTCATGGAACAAGTTTAATTTTACAGAACTTCAGTTGATCAAGGAACTAGAATCAGTATTATCCCTAGGCAGAAACTCAGTTTCTGCTTGGTGGTTGAAATAAGTTTTCTAGTTATTAGTTAAAATGCAGATACTCCTTTCACTTACACATCTGTTTAAATCTAGTTGGTTCTTCCAAGAACAGATTTTAGCAGGAGATTTAAAGATCATCTAGAGCTTGAGTCAGGCTGAGAATATCACATGGCTATTTTGTTTATTTTTTTTAATGTATTGTTCCCCTTCTATAATGCAGGCTTTCTGAGGAAAGGGACTTTGTCATGTTAACTACCGTTTTCCCAATACTCAGAATAGTAACTGGGAGGTGAAAACGAGTAAATATTTGTGGGATGAATGAATAAAAAAAAATGGTGAAAAAAATTTCTAACTGGCAATTTTGCTTAGGGTTTTTGTATATACAGCACAATAGGTTAAACTTAAGGGCTTCTTATTTTAACTTTATCTAATGACCTCTGAAATTCTTGATATATTGGTATCAGCCTATGAAGTGGGTCTTTAAACCCCTTTCAATTTTGCATATTCTAGCCTGTATGTATCATTTTGCTGTATTTCCTTAGGTTTTAAGAAGCTGGCCTTGGTGCAGTAAGGAACTTAGAACAATGGAAGAACGGAAAGTGAAGAGGAGGAGTCCTAAGTCTTTTAGTGCCCACTCTACTCAGGTTGTTAATGCCAAAAAAAATGCCATTCCAGTTAGTAAAAGCACAGGGTTTTCAAATCCTGCATCACAGTCAACTTCACAGCGACCAAAGTTAAAAAGGTGATTTTTTTTTCTTTCATAATATCACAGCAACATGCTATCAAGGTAAATACTAAATCCAGTAATTCTTATAACACTTTTTTTCTCTTGGCTTAACTTTCAAAACAGTTGAAGCACATATTATATGTGATCTAGAAAAAAAATTATAAAGGTTACAATGTGTAGGGATTAGAACATGCAGAATGAATGATTGGTTTGAAGGCTCTTACTTAGTCTCCTATTAAAATAGACTGAGTAAGAAAATAGACAAAGTTGATGCACTAGCCAGAAAATGGAACAAAATATACAGGGTTTTTTTTTTTTGTACTTAATTTTTTTTTAATGAACATATAATGTATTATTTTGTGTTTTTTTTTTTAAACTAAGCTGAGTGTGCTTTGGTAATTTTATTTTTTTAAAAAGGGTGGCTTCATTGCTGTCATAGAAATGGTTCATATTTATTGTAAAAATTCAAACACAAGAACAGTTCAAAGAAGAAATTTAAAACCACCTAGAAGTAACTCATTATTAATATTTGGTGACCATCATTTGTCTTGAGGCTCTAAAGGAAACAGGAGCAACAAGTTCAAGTGTGATATATAATACTGCTGTATGTATGTGAGTATTCTGTAGTATTAGATATTTGGAAAGCGAGATAATACATGTATCTTATGTGTACTTTATATATGCATAATTCTCTCTTCTTAAAGATACTCATATACAATTAATGTTTGTATTGCATCATCTTTGCAGAGTGATGAAAGAAAAGACCAGACCTCAGGGTGGAGAAGGAAAAGGTGCACAACCGACTCCTATTCAGCACTCCTTCCTCACCGACGTCTCAGACGTTCAGGAGATGGAGAGAGGGCTTCTCAGCCTTTTGAATGATTTCCACTCTGGAAAACTTCAAGCATTCGGCAAGCCATAGATATTTCCCTTTTGTTTTTCTTTTCAAGATGTTTGCATCCTATTCTTTTAAAAGTATCATTTTCTTTTATTTAAAAAATAGAGTCCAGAGGCATCAAATGCAATCACCCTAGATTTCATTTGTAATGGTTTATAATTTATCTTCTAAAATTTCAGGAAAAAGGGTTATTTATTTACTTATTTATTTTTGAGAGAGAGGTGAGAGAGGCAGAGGGAGAGGGAGAGAAAGAATCTTAAGCAGGCTCCATGCCCAGTGCCGAGCCCCATGCAGGGCTCCATCTCACAGCCCTGATATCAGGACCTGAGCCAAAATCAAGAGTCAGACGTTTAACCAACTAAGCCACCCAGGCTCCAGGAAAAAGTTTTTTTTAAGAAGGGAGGGTTGGTTGAAATGTTAACGTAGGATTGCTATTATGGAATAACGATCCTGAAAGTAACAAATAAAAAATATTCTTCATCAGCTAAATAGTTGAGACTTAATGTTTTGGTTTGGGAAAGTCTCAGGATCATTTTTATTTACCCTTTTAAGCCTAAACTTAATTTTTGTCCACCATTCCTTACTTTTGAATTTGAAGAATCTGATTTTCTTGTTCTTTCATGAATCTAGAGAACAGTTAATTGATTGTCCCATTAAGAACTCTGAGTAGGTAGTTTTGAATATGAGTTCTCAAAGTATGTAGTCAGTTTTTGTATTCAGTTTGCAACTTGCCTTATTAGTCTTGCCTGATAAAATTATGTACATGTATTTTGTATAAAGCAGTTTGAAAATTATTGGACGCACACATGAAGAATCTCACACAAATGCATAAATGTCATCAGCATACGTGCTGGTTTTTTGAAGCCAGCAATAAAAGGGTAAATAACCAAATAGAAAACTGGGTAGGGGTCCTACAAAGAGCAATTCAGCTGCTTAACGGCCACAAATGCAATAGTAATACAATAAATCCCACCTCATACCAGCAGACTGGCAAAATTAAAAGACTGGTAATACCTGTTGCTGGTGGAATTCAGAGAAAAGAGTTCTTTCATAAAATGCTGATGACACTGGAGGGGTCAATGTTTGGAATTTTTTTAACTCTTCTCATTAATTCTGCCTGGGGATCAGTGAGCCCTTCATATCTACCAGCTCATTTTCATCTAAAGGAGCATTTTTTCTGTTAATTGATTCCACCTCCATCTGTTCCTTTTTATCCTTTTGGAGCTTCTGTTCTCATGTTGGTTCATGGTTCTCACCTGGATCCCTTATGATTTCTGCTTCTTTATATTTTTAATCCATATTGTCCCCCTCTTTTCTCTCTATCTATGTATGTTAAAAATTGATGAATTTATATGTGTGCCAGTCTATACATGTGTACACACACATACACACACGTCCCTCTCTTGGGGTATTTCTTCCACTTGACCTTCCAGATTACTACTAATTGTTGAAAAACAAAGGAAATACAAGATATTTTCTCAGAGATATCAGGCTTTTAAATATCTCAGAAATATCTGACTTTTAAAGGATGACTTTTAAAGAGCTGTAACTAGCTTCAAAATTATCAGTTTTGATAATTTTGGGGCGCCTGGGTGGCTCAGTGGGTTAAGCCTCTGCCTTCAGCTCAGGTCATGATCTCAGGGTCCTGGGAGGGAGCCCTGCATCGGGCTCTCTGCTCAGCAGGGAGCCTGCTTTCCGCCTCTCTGCCTGCCTCTCTGCCTACTTGTGATCTCTCTGTCTCTGTCAAATAAAAAAAAATTATCAGTAGTCAACATAATATTGTCGATTTATGAAGATGATATAAAGCTGGCTGGAAGAAATTATAGTGTAATATACATGAATTCCTATTGATTCAAGATATATACTTCAACTTTATACTATATTTTATACTTCAACTTTAGCTGAGCTATAGTATACCTCTGAGAAAACCAAGGTTTTTTAGGAAAAAACTTTAGTATCAAGAGGTTGTAGAGACAAGGGGCACCAGACTGGCTCAGTCAGTGGAGCATGTGACTCTTGATCTCAGGGATGTAGGTTCAAGCCCCACAATGGGTGTAGAAATTCCTTAAAAATAAAATCTTAAAAAAAAAAAAGAGGATGTAGAGGCTATATGTAAAGTGTATGAAATATGTAATATATCATGTACTATATATATATATTAGCTGCCCTGAATGATAATGCCACCTCAGAGAACTCTGGTCAATAAATAATGTAAAACCTGTCCTTCAGCAATTAAGCTCTCTTGCATTACTGAGTATACAACTGAATATTACACTGTGTTTCTCATGCATCATAATATTCTTCATAAATATTTTCACTTTTATTTCTTAAAGGAGGCATATATAATTGGTGGCAAAATGATTCATGATTGAAGTTTTTTTTTTTCATGGTTGAAGTTCTTATAGGAGTCTCAAGGTTACTCATTCTTATAAAATATTAGGTCACTCAGTTCAAATGGCAGTTGTCAAATTGAACATGATTAGATGACGCTATTGCTTCTAGAAATGATATTACTATCGAAAAAAAGAACTTTCTTTACCTAAGGGATGATTTTGGGTATTAGTTGTTTCGTTTTTCTTTTAATTTTTGAAAGATTTTATTTTCAAGCTATGTCCACCCCCACCACTGGGCTTGTACTCATAACCCTGCACCAACTGAGTCATGGTTTTGTTTTTTACAGAATGGTTTTGTTTTTTGCAGAAAATCTTTCCTATTTGATTTTCTCAGTGCCCACAGTTGTTTCTTAGATTATCATTGTTTTCCTGTCAAAACAGGATTTGATTTGTGATTATGCACAGAAAATACGCAGTCATTACCAATGTAATTCACCACAGAAAGAAAGCTAATTTCCTGTGAGCACCTTGAGTTTAGAAGTTTTTCCTCAAGGCTTTTAGTTTGAACTGTCCTAATCTTTATTAATGTTCTGGGATGTTCCCCCAGGAAATGAATGTTCCATTGAACAGATGGAACATGTTCGGGGAATGCAGGAGAAATTAGCTCGCTTGAATTTGGAGCTCTATGGGGAGTTAGAGGAACTTCCTGAGGATAAGAGAAAAACAGCCAGTGACTCCAATCTGGACAGGCTTCTGTCTGACGTGAGTGGAATTCTTTTTCTTTATTCTTTCTATCATAAAAATTTTTTATTGAAAGAAAGTTCATCATTTTAATCATTTAAAGTATATCATTTAGTGGTTTTTGGTATCTTCACAGTGTTTTGCAGACATCACTACTGTCTAATTCCAGAACATGTTCATCACCCGCTAAAAGAACCCTATCCCTCTCAATTCTCCCTTCACTTCATCCCTTAGCAGCCACTCATCTACTCTCTATGTGGATGTGGCCTATTCTGGATATGTCATATAAAGAGAATCACTCAATGTGTGGCTCCTTATGACTGGGTTCTATCACTTAATGTAGTATTTTCAAGTTTCACACATGTTGTATTCTACCCTTTTTTAAAAAGAAATATATTTCAAAGAAATTGTCATATTTGCATCTAAGCATATATTCTGAGAATACTGGCAAATCTAAAAGTGAAAGATTCACTTCTGTCCATATATGATAAGATCTTAATATATAGAAGATCCTGATGTGATGTATACATTTATGTTATTCACTCATCTAGTGGTCACTTATTTCTAAATACAGAACTGTATTTGCTATTTAAGGTAACTTAGTATGTGCTATGTGTATCAGCTTGCTACAGCTGCTGTAACAAAGCGCCATAGACTGGCTACCCTAGAAGTTTCTTTTCCACAGTTCTGGAGCCCCAGAGATGGAGATCAGGGTATCAGCAGGACTGGTTTCTTCTGAGGCCTCTCTCCTTGGCTTGTAGATACCCATCTTCATCTTTAGATGGCAGTCCCCTTTTATCAGTGGGTACCTATGTCCCAATTTCCTCTTCTTATAAAGCCACCAGTCATACTGGATTAGGGCCCACACTAATGACCTCATTTTAACTTACTCCATCTTTGTAAGACCCTATCTCCAAATACACTCACATTCTGAGGTATTGGGGGTTAGGGCTAAAATGTATGAGTTTGGGGAGGACATAATCCCATCTATAACACTACGTATGGTTCTTCTACTAAAAGGTATTAATGAAATTGGTCTCTTTAAACATTTATTTTGAATAAAAGAAAAATTGGTACTTTAGTTTCAGAATAGTTTCCATATTCACTAATGACAAAAATGTTTAATTTCTGTTCCTTCTCTTTATCCTTTGAGTAATGAAATGTGCAGGAAATGATATGCCCATACTTTCAATGTTTCAAGCCTGTGTGTTTATTTTACATCTACTATGTTCAGTCTTACAAGTATTTCCTTCTACTAGTTCCTCTTAATAAATAAATACAGGTTTGTTTTGCAGTACATTTAGGAAAGTGACTGTGGTATGGTGAGAACACTGAATTTGAAACCAGAAAGCCTTTGTTTAGTCTGGGGTTTGCATTTCAGATACATCTGTGTAACTTGGTCAATTTAGTTAACATTTCTATAACTTTGTTTCTGTAACATTTCTGTAAAATAGGTGTGATTAATTCTACCTCATCCTGAAAACTGAATGATATGTGAAATCTTTTTGTAATCTACAAAGGTTTTAAGGAATTTGATCATGAAAATGTCAACTTTTTAAAACTATTAATAGAGATGTTATAATTATTCATGGTTTTAAGAATCCTTATAAAACTCCAGTTTTTATTATCTGGTTTCATTCTCTTCTCATATATGTGTTTAATAAATGCTAAAGGTACTTTATAATTATTTTGTATAAGTGAATTTCCTAGCCTGAAAATTTTTGGAAAGTTTTTTCAATATTTTACTTTTTCTTTTAAAGAAAGCTTAAATGAAAAATAGTTTATTTTAAAATATGTAAACATGACCTACTTAAGATATTTTTCTTATAAAAATTAAAATTAAATTTGTTTCTTTGTGTTACAGTTAGAAGAACTGAATTCTTCCATGTATCCTTTTGTCTAATATCAACAGTGAAAAGTTTACACATTGTAACTCCAGTGAATAGCTCAATCAAGTGAACAAGGATACCTACTATTATTTACTGGAGCCATTTCTCTTCCCCTTTGGTCTCCAAATGGAATTTTTAGTTGCTTTTGTATGTTGCCATTTTGTTTGTTTCTGGTTTGTTCTGCTTTGCTTTGTGTTGTTTTTGGATTTCTAAAACAAATTTTAAAAATATTAATCAGGAGAATTGAGGATTAGGCTATTGCCATAGAAATTATTTTGAATCTTGGATTCTTAAGTTAAAGAGCAGTTGGATATGTGGACATAAAATGCCATACTTAATTTGCTCTCATTACATAGAACACTTTACATGCATATATAAAGTGTATTATAAGATTAGCTTAAAGGAAAGCACCAAGGCATATGTAAAATATTCAGGTTTTGACATTTCAGTTTGGAGCAATTATTTCAGGAACTATACAAAATGTATTTCTGGACAGAGACGCAGATACAATGTGAGATATATAAAAACAGTAAGAAATGATTCTGCCTATAAAATCATTTAATTTGAGAGTTTAGTCCCTTTGGACTAAATAATGAGATACTAAAAAGGATACTGGTTGTGGAGTCAAGAGATTTATTTTTGAAATTTGGTTTTGATACTAATTTTGGGTAAGTTGTTTAACATCTCAGAGTGTCCTCTGTAATATGGGGTAATTGCTACATATAATGATGTATATATGAAATTTTCCAAACTGTAGAAAAAAAATATATATATATATAACCATTATTGTTAATAACATATACTGTTATTAAATGCTAAATTATGGGGCTCCTGGGTATCTCAGTGGGTTAAAGACTCTGCCTTTGGCTTAGGTCAGTGGGGAGCCTGCTTCCTCCCCGCCCCCCGCTGCCTGCCTCTCTGCCTACTTGTGATCTCTGTCAAATAAATAAAATCTTTTTTTAAAAAAAAGCTAAATTATGCAGTAACAACAGTGAAGAATTAGAGAGGTATATACAAATCCTGTAATAAAAATCATTAATCTTAAGTACTTACTACTTGCCAAGTATTTTATGAAGGACTTTACATGCATTTTCTTATTTGGTCCTACCCTTGTAAGTATGTGGTATTATACTTACCATTTTACAGATGAAGAAAATAAGGTTTTGAGAAGCCACATAAACTGTGGGAGACATTAATGTAAAATATCATTACCAAGAAGGATTTAATTTGAGGATTAGATATGAGTTAATTATGAGGCTTCTCTTAGTAGTAGTTCCTAGTTCTTTTTTCTTTTCCTTATATTCATTCTGAGCTCTCTATTCTATGCTTTATATTCTTTCTATGCATATGACACAGCAGTATCTCCTATCCTCTGAGTTTTTGTTTAACATTTAGATTTACTTATCTTACCACTTGGCTTGATTGAGTCACCACGGTTGAACAAGGCAACATGATAGACTACAAGAGCATGGGCTTTGAATTGCTTGGTTTCAAATCTTGGTAAGCAGGTGTGTAGCCTTGAGCAAAGTTTGGCAACCCTAGTTTCCTCATTTGTAATAATTGTTCTCTCTGTATTCAGACTTTCCCCTTCTAATTTCCCTCTCTGTCATCAGTTGCCTCTGTTATTTCAGTCTCCAAGATTATTTAAATTCCTTCTATGACTATACCAGACATTGCTACTCATGGCACTCTCTGCCATTGAACCTGGATGTGGGCAGGAAATTATTGCCATTTATTAATTATAGTTAGTTTTCAGGCATCATCAGCTCTGCCTTTTATTCTTTCTTCATTCCTCACCCTCATCACTTTATTCCCTAACCTTTCAAATTTCTTCTGTTCCACCTCTAGAGCTGCACTGTCTAATATGGCAGCCATTAGCCATGTAGCTACTGAGCAGGTGAAATAGCTAATATGGATTGAAATGTGCTAGAACTATAATTTGTACATCTGATTTCAAAGATTTAGTGTTACAAAAAGAATATAAAATATTTTAATATGTTTCATAGTGATTATATGCTGAAATGATAGTTTTTTGATATATTAGTGTAAAACATATTTTAAAAATTATATCTGTAGCTTGTAGTACATATATATATATATATATATATATATATTTTTTTTTTTTTTTTTTTTTGGACAGTGCTGCTGTAGACTTTAGACACCACTAAATAATTCTTCCTAAAATCATCACTGTCATCTTGCCATTCTTATTTTAGACTAATTTTTTTACCATGTCAGACTTTCTAAAGGCTCTCAGTAGTATGATCACAACCTACATATCCTCTTATATTTTTCATTATTTTTCATTGCTGCTAAGCTGGTTCTCTGGATATCAAAGAAGACATCATGTTCATGCTCACTGTGATGCCTTTTTCAGGTTGTACTTCCTACCTCGAGTTGCTCTGGCCTCCCCCTTTCCCTTATCAAATAACACCAAAGCTGTCCACTTCCATAAAGCATTTTATTTGTACCTCAGACTAGCATTCTGCCTATTTCAGTCTCTGTTGATTTTTGTGTATGTTAAATCTCAGCTTTCCAACTGGACGAGAATGTCTTTGGCAATACTCATGTCTATGTATTTTAGCAATTTCTGCCGTGTGTGTCTTGCTAACATTGAATTGTTCTCATTTCATTGTTTGAATTGGGTCTTGAAAAAATAGGTAGCAGGTGGATCATACAGAGAGATGAAAGGCAATGATAATAAGGAAAGGGAATAATATCTGCAGGAATTCCATCCTGTTTCCAATCTTCTTTAAGAATAATTCAGAAGATTATAAGAAAAGATTTCAAGGTATAATTTTATTTTTGACCTTTACAAAGAAGTTGTTTTCCCAAGGATAATAAACTGGTGTTTATTAGATAGAGATAATTTAATTTAATTTAATTAGATAGAGATAATAATGGTGTTTATTAGATAGAGAAATGATTTTTTTATCATTTGAGAAGTTTTCATATTTACCTCTTATTAGTCCCTTACCGTGAAAATAATTCTTGCCACATTAAAATAATTCTGTGCTCTACTAGAACCTGGAACATAATCTTGATTTAGTGACTATTTTTAAGTCTTCAGATTTCAGATATAGTATAATTTATATACTTTATATAAGAATATATATTATTATTATATTAGTTATATTAATATATTTTATAATTATAATTATATACAGTTATAGTAATTATATATAATTATAATTATATATTTGTAATATATAATTATAATTATATGTAATTATAATAATTATTTAATTGATATGTTAATGTATATTATTATAATATATTTCTAATTTATATACTTTATATACTATACACCATATATATATATATATATATAACTTTGTTTAAAAATTGTCTGGTTACATTCAGGTTTCTCAGCCACATAGGCACTTGCCCTTTAAACATATTTCCTTTATTTTAGTAACTTTTTCTCAGCTCCTGAGTGTAATTTCCCATAATTTAAAAGAAGTCCTCATTACAGAATGAAAATCTTCTTAATGATAAACTCAGACAAAAGTTACATTTGGCTGATGCACAAGATGTTCCAAATACTTCTACCAGCTAAAACGACATGTGGTTGCTTTCTTGTGGCTTGAAGAGGAGCAGCATTCGTTACTTTCCCAGCTGAATCCAGTAGCAGAATCACCTTCCACAATAAGGAATAAAGTGATTAAAGTGCCAGTGCAATGATTGTTTTCACTCCTGCTTTTAGTAAATTTGACTCGCTGCTATTCATCCTAACTGGAGCCTCGGCCTTGTTGAAGGCTTAATCAGGTTGTGCTGCTATGCTTTCCATTGTTGCCTTATGGGGGTTATACTTGAAATGCATTGTGCAGAATGTTAATAATAGGGCTGAAGGTTTCTCCTTCCTGAGCTCACCAAACTTATTCCCATGTTGCATATAAGTTGATGATGCCCAGGCTTTTTGTGGCAGCCCCCCGCTGCAGTTTACGTTAGACAATCAGTACACACACTGGTGTTTTCCAGTGGCCAGCGACAACAAAACGGTAAATGAGTATTTGTGAAATTTGCTATTTTTAATAAAAGTGATTGTTTTACATTGGTCTTTATTGTTTTATTTCGAAGAGCCCTGTAGTCTTTCAATCTGGGGATACAAGATTTCCATCCTCCAAAGTACACTGTGTTTATAAAATTTTGGGTTATGTAATTTTCTTCCAGATTTTGCGCCTTGTACACATTTCAGTATTGGTGTCAGTCATGAAAAGAGCATGGGCTTTAAAGTCAGACCTTGATTTGAATCCCTATTCTGCCCCTTAGCTTTCTATTCATGCACCTTTACTTGGTTTCTTTGGGTTTAACTTTTGTTTTTCATCTAGAAATGAGATTAATAACCAATTTGTACTGGTTATGAGGAGAAAGTAAAAAGGTGTGTATAAGTTGCTTATCACAACAGCTAACACCACTAATACACAGCAAACATCATCAGTTTAATTGCCCATTTTACACAGCTTTTTTGAAATAATTAACTCGTACACCATAAAATACACCTTTTCAAGTGTACAGCTCAGTGGTTTTTACTGCATTCACACTTGTGCACCCATCACCATAATCTAATTGTAGGACATTTTCATCACTTCCATTTTTTCAAAAAGAAAAGATCCCATATCCCAACCCCCCCAGCCATTTGTAACTAGTAATCTACTTGCTGTCTCTGGATTCGCCAATTCAGGACATTGTGTATGAACGGAATCAAGCATGGTTTTTTATGACTGACTTCTTTCACTTTAATGCAATATTTTCAGGGTTTCAGGGTTCATCTGTGTTGTTGCATGGATCAGCACTATATATATATATATGGCATATGTGTGTATATATATATATATATATATATATATATATATAACCAGATCATATCCTATTGTGTAGATATGCCACATTATGTTTATTCAATCATAGCTCAATTGCCTTCACATTTTAGAAGAGGCCCATGCTTTTTGTTTCCAGGATAGAGAAACAAGCACCTATTCGGGGGTGGGAGAGTGAAAGTCATTGAATGATACAAATCTTGATTTTAGTAATTTTTGGCATTCTGAGTTCAAAGAATTTTGACCGACTTATCTAGTGGGTCTTTTTGATACCCCTTTTAAAAATGAGAAAATTAGCAGAACGTTAAAGACAATCTTCTAAACTTTTCACGTGGATTGCAAAAACAGGGATTCCAGGGTGGGCAAATAGCATTTCAGGACCCGACAGAGCAAAAGGAAATTTTGCCATGTGACGTGTTTTTCTTGGATGGGTCCTGAGACAGAGTAAAGCAAAAGCTGTTTCCTGTGGATTAGCAACAGAGCATCTAATTGACCTTGTTTATTCATTTGGTTTATTTGTCCTTTGTGTCAAGGAGCCCCATGGGGGCCTCAGGTAATAAAATTTTAGCTTACCTAATTTGTACCCTCTCATACGAAAACATATTAAAGGCAGCAGGAAAAAAAAGAGGTGCCTGGGTTAGAACAAAACTGTATTAGAACAAAATTATATATTATATAGATGTTGCGTATTCTCTGTAGACAAATTTTAATTACCAATTACTTAAAAAAAAATACTGCCAGAGCAAGCCATTTATCATATTCTGTGCTACTTCCAGATCCCATAAACTTGTTTGCTTTGATTTTGGTTCCTCCTGTATAACGCTAAAACTGATAATAAGTATTAAAATAGTCTGAGGATTTGCCAAAGATAATCCCCCACCTTTCCCATCCCAGGGCCTTAATATTGCTGGCTTCAGCGTCCCATCTCATCTTGGCTGAGGTCCCGCTACCCGGCTTCTGCCCCTCTGCTCCAAGCCTTCAGGGGTCCCACCCTAGGCTCCCCGGGGGACGGCGAAGGAACCGGGCAAGGCTCCGCGCGCGGCAGGCGGGGAAGGCGCACACGGTCCAGCTGTCCCCGCGCGCAGGCGCAGGAAGGCCGCGGCCTGGTGCGCGAGGCGGGGGCGCCGGGGTGCGAGTCTGGGGAGGGTGTTGTCGGTCTCCATGGAGACGGCGCCCCGCTGCGGCCGCTAGCTAGAGTTCCTGCTTTTCACTCCGCGGTGGAAAGAGGAGGCAGTCGCTCCGGTCCCGGTCCCTCGGCCACCTCCGGGAGGTAAAGCCCTTGCTTCTGGGCCGCGCATCTTCTGCTTGGGACCCCATGGGCACCGGGCTTCCCCTCGCCACGCCTGGGAGCCCCTAAACAGCTTTGAGGAGGACACTGGCCCCCCCCTCCCCCCATGACCTTGAGAACCTCCGCAGCCCGACAATTATCCAGAAAACCCTGCAGTGACTCTGGGGAGAAACAAAAATCTGAGTAGATTTGAGTTGGGCGGGTGGCAAGGGAACTGAACCTCCTCCAGAGCATTCATCTGGGATAGAAATGGAGTCAAGTTATTGAGCACTTTGGAAAGCACTGATTTTCTTTCGACCCCAGACTGGCTCACACCAACTCCTCTCTTCCTGCCAGTTCTCAAGTTCTCACTCTCCTACCCTGGAGTCCCGGCTGCGTGGGGAGTCCGGTGGTGGGTGGGCGTAGAAGAGAAATACAGACTCTGTGGTGAATACGGTGCCTGGTTAGAACTGCATAGCTCTAGCAATTAATATGCTAAGATTTGATGAACAGGACAAATAATTAAAGACATGATACTTATATATATTTTTCTTTTTGAAAAATATTCATGCTGCGCTTACTAAACATTCTTGCCATACGTATCAGAACAGAATATCCTGACATCATCCCTATCCAAGTTCAGCACAACCCAGGCCACTGTTTTCAGGCCCGTCTTGACAGTTGTGCACCTTGGGAACCTCAAAAATCATGCTCTAAAACTTATTTCAGAAGGAGAAAGTAGGGATTAGAGACTTGAAAGTTTGAGAACAGCCAGAACTGTTCATTTCTCCTGAACGAGTTTAAATAGTATGGCTGCTGCTTGTTGCAGCTCTAATTTCATAGTTTTACTTATTTTTTTAAAAGATTACATTTTTATTTATTTGACAGAGAGACAGCCAGAGAAGGAACATAAGCAGGGCGAGTGGGAGAGGGAGAAGCAGGCTTCCTGCAGAGCAAGGAGCCTGATACCCAGGCTTGATCCCAGCACCCTAGGACCAGGACCCGAGCCCAAGGCAGATGCTTAAGGACTGAACCACTCAAGCGCCCCTAATTTTATAATTTTAAACTTATTTATCAGTGAGCCAATCCAGCATTTGATCGTGTCCAGTCTGGGTTCACAACGTGGCATTCTTAGCATCTCCTGTGCTACCAATAGTGTGGGCTTCCTCCAAACATGTCATCACTTCCATTATCCATTACTAATTTGTGCATTTAATAAAAATTATATACCACTTTATGTTCAAAATAAGTCATGTTTCTTCATGCCCTGAATACATTTAACTTATCTGGAAGTCTTTTATTTCTGTCTTTCACTAATCACACAAATTTTTCTTGTACTCTGGTTCTTTTTGCAATCTTTAGAACCAGAAACTTTTTATAAAGATTTTATTGATTTGTTTGAGAGAAAGAGAGAGAACACATGCTTGAGCAGGCGTGGGGGAGTGGCACAGAGGGAGAGGGAGAATCTCAAGCAGATTCTAGCCTCAGGGCTCTATCTCAGGACTCAGGGGAGATCATGACCCCAGCGGAAATCAAGAGTTGGTCACTTCACCAACTGAACCCCCCAGGTTCCCCCCAGATAACTCTTGAGAGGCATATTTAAGGGGTTAAATTGGGGTTTCTGCCCCACTCTGAGTAGTTTATTCCTCCTTCATGATGCAAGAGGAAGACTTTCTATAGAATTTTTTTTCCAGTGCATAGAATCTAAAAGTTTCTCAGGGAAGGAATGTCAGGTACATATTTTGGAAAGTGTATTTGCATAGCCTCTGAAATATTGAAAATATAGAACATGCTCAAGGGATTAAATTGTAGAGAATAAATGAATCATGGTACAATTTGCATGTGTGGATCATAAGAGAACTCAAATGTAGGTACCTCTGTGGCAGGGAACAATGTTTTGTTTCTAATTTCCCTTCAAATCACTTGAGCACTTGAGTCCTGCTGTGGAGCAGGACTAGGCGAATTTACATGTCTCCTGCTGTGTAAGAAATCACCAAGGGAAACAGTTAATGGCAGTAAGATTCTGCTTTACCCCAGTGACAATTTAGCTCTCTGTATGGGCTGCCAATTGCCCAGCCATCCTAACCCTTAATCTGGCTTTGGTTGTCACACAACAAGCTCTTCCCCACCTTGCGCGCCCCCCCTTTTATTTTTGCTAAGCAAAGAACTGCTAGTGTCAGTTGCTGATTTCCTCATCAATAGCCAGTTGTATGGTCAGCCGTGTAAAAGAAATTTTATTTCCAAATGAACCCATAGTAGTCATACAATCCATTTAAGTTACACTCGCTCTTTAGGGAAAATCCAGTATAATTTTTAAACTTAATAACCAATTATTCCCTGTCTGACGTTGGATGCTTTTCTTTACCCTGCCTTTCTCCTCTGTCGTCTAACTGCCAGGGTGAATGGGAGAAGTGAAGGAGCTGGAGTATGGGGAAGAGATTTACTAGCACAGTGCAGGTCAGAGTAGCCACTCAAACAAACATTAAAATAACCATAGCTTTTCTCACACGGCTCCCTCCCCACTTTGATTTTGTAACAGCATGTATGTTAGATCTAGTTCTAAATGAGAAGAACCACAGATTGGGGTCTCCAATTTCATTTCCTTCTTGCGACACACTTCAGAAACATTTAGAGCCCTTGTTTTCCATGGTCAGGTAAGAAAGGGTGTCCAGTTGGTGTCACTCATGCTAGGGCCTCAATTCAGTGGACACCTGGGCCATAAGCACGGGAGTGGCTGGACCTTTACTTTTCTAGACGTGACTCGCTACTTTGTGTAAGAACAAGAGAAATCCTAAACGATCAGGGAAGAACTTCATGGTACAGTATTTTGGCTCTAGGAGAAAGGGCACAGAGAAAAGATGAAGAATGGATGAGAATTTGGTTTTGTACACTGAGGTTTTGAGTCGCTCTTGGTGATAGAAGGTATCAGGGACTGCCATACTGTAAACATAATTCACAAGAAGTATTCT